TTGCTTTTCCCTCACTCGTATGTATGTGTATACTGAATATGCAGGGCAAATAAGAGTCTGGTCATTCAGCCTCGCGTGCAGAATACATGTAGAGATACGTATGAAAGGTAAGATGTATGTGGTCTCGCTATCTCTTGGCTGTTGCTCGCAATGATTTGACTAGATGCAGGATGACAACCTGACTGCCTGATTAGATGCATTAACGACTTTAACAACATCATCTGGATTCCCATGGCGTCTCCGCTTTCTTTCGATGTGAACTAACTGTACTGAGCTAGATTTGTACTATTTCCGGTTGGTAAGCTATCGACGGTGCTGTCTTACAATGAGCTAGGTTAAGTCCGATTGGCGTGTGGATCCAAAAAGTCCCCTATTGTAAACAGCCTTGAAAGTTCAAAGTTGAGATGGGTTTATCGATATGGAGGCCCCGCTGTAATTTGTCTCGTCAAGGTTGCTTCTTCAAGTCTGTTGTATCGCGATAGCACCCAAATCGAGGGAGCTGTTCGATCGCCCTGCTTGTCACCAGCCCTTTTTTCCCGCATACATCCCAACTGGAAGCGCCACTTAATTCTTTAGACGCAGAACAGAACATATGCACTGATTGTACTTCGACTGTTTACTCACTATGCACGTCCAGCAAGGCGACGTGCCAGTATATACTGTCGCGGGAGCCAATACTGCAAGACCTCTCCCCGACTGGCTTGCCCGGAGAAGAAAGCGCAGTTTAAAACAAGATGCCGAATACCAGAATCGAATAGAACTTCTGCAAGACTTCTCCTTCGAGGAAGCGAGCTCCTGCGTCCGAGTCTCGGAAGATAACAACTGGATCATGTCAACGGGAACTTATAAGCCACAGATTCATGTCCACTATCTGCCACATCTTTCTTTGTCGTATGCGCGACACACAACGAGTCTCAACATCAAGTTCTCCCTCCTCTCGACGGACGCTTCCAAATCCCTACACCTTCAGAGCGATAGGCGCCTCGAGTTTCATACCCTCGCCGGGCTCCACGAGGCCGTTAAGCTACCGAGATATGGCCGAGATCTTGTCTACGACCGTCTGACGACCGAAGCTCTGGTTGGTGCAGTTGGTCTGGGGCCCGATGGCCAAGGAGAGGTTTTCAGGTTCAATCTGGAGGCCGGCCGATTCATGCAGTCGTACAGAGTAGATCTCGGTTCCGACACAGGTCCCGAAGTTGGCCTTCAAGGAAGCAGTACGTCTTTCAAAGCTTCGGGTACCTCGCAATCACAAAACCTCTACTCACACTTCACACATAGTCTGGGCGCCCGCCGTAAATTCTATAGCCACTGCCGAAAACACCCACAACCTTCTCGCATTCGGTACTTCGATAGGCTCTGTTGAGGTAGGCCATTCTCCTCCATATTCCTTCTTCACATGACCGCTAACGAAAAGGGGACGTTAGTTTTGGGACCCTCGATCTCGCTCCCGTATAGCCGTCTTGGGTGGGCAAGAGGGCGAAGTCACCGCCCTCGACTTCAATGACTCGGGACTCACGATCGCAACCGGAACCTCGACCGGAGTGGTAAAGCTGTTTGACATGCGGAGTCCAAAGCCTCTCTGGCAGAAAGATCACGGCAGCGGGTTTCCGATAAAGAACCTCATCCACATGACAACGGCTTCGTCGGAGCGGAAGCTGCTATCTAGTGACAAGCAACTCATTAAGATCAACGAAGAGTCCACCGGGCAGACTTGGACCAGTATCGAGCCCGTGGTTGATATAAACTTTACGACCTGGGTAAAGGACACGGGAATGATACTCACGGCCAACGAGGGACAGCCGATGCACGCTTTCCTGATTCCCCAGCTGGGCAATTCTCCGCGCTGGGCTGCACATCTTGACTCCCTTACCGAGGAGATGGCGAGCGAAGTGACGACAGACAACTACGAAAATTACAAGTTCTTGACCCTGCCCGAGTTGAGGTCGTTAAGCATGGATCATCTGGTCGGCAAGACGAATCTCCTCCGGCCATACATGCACGGTTATTTCGTGGCTTCCAAGCTGTACGAGCAGGCCCGGTTAATAGCCAACCCATTCGCCTTCGACGAGGAACGTGCCAGACGCGTAAAGGAGAAGGTTGAGAAAGAGAGAGCCAGTCGCATTCGCGGAAACAAGAAGGTCAAGGTCAACCAGAGACTCGTCGACAAGCTACTCAAACGCCAAGAGAAGCGGGCCACTGTCGATACCAGCGCCGGCATTCTTGGTGATGAACGTTTCAGCCGCATGTTCGAGGATGAGGAGTTCCGCATCGACGAGAAGAGCGGAGAATTTAAGGCCCTCAACCCGAGCACGCGGGTCGATCCCCAGACGGGCAAGTCTCTCGTCCCCCCGACTTCGTTTTCTGACGGCGAGAGCGACGTGGACGACAGTCTCAGTGAGGAGCTTGACTCGGACGACGGGTTCCGGAGACCAGAGAAAGAATCACTTGTCATGCGCGTCAGCTCCTCCAATCAGGCAGGCAACAGGCACGAACGAGACGAGGCATTTGGCTCTAGGACCCAAAAGACAAGTCGCCCTGTCAAAGCTAGAGGCGGTGACGTCGTTGGTGATAAAGAAATCACATTTGTACCGGAAAGGAGGAGGAACAATAAGGAGAAGGCCGAGGAGCCTGCTCCATCTGGAACAGAAAATAAGCGGACGACGGCCAGACGCAGTGCTAGCTCGAACGTACTTAGGCAACGACACTAGTAACCAACTATGCTGTCCAAAGAATACAACAATATCAATACACGGGCTTAGACCGTCTCTGTCCCTCAGGACCAGTCCGTCCGGGACAGAGATCCGGCATCCATCCACCGAGTCTCTGATTGATCCAGCCTCCCTGTCCTCCCGGTATAGATGGCCCACTGGCCTACTTCCTCGTCCACTTATTATTTCGCCCCTCAGGGCTTTGGCGAATGCCCGACTTGGCAAGGCCTTTCTCAACATCCTCGGGTCGGAGTCTAGGCGTGGGAGGCACGTCGTCCAGACGGACGCGACCTCGGGACGATCTGCCCGACGACTCTTTGACAGATCTCGGAAACTCGGTGCGGCGTGGCGTCAATGCGGCGACCACCTTCCTGGCCGATCTCCTTATGCTCTGCCGGATCTTCCACTCCCTCTTCTTGGCTAGGTAGAAGAGGACGGCAGTCGAGACTGCACTTGGTAGTTAGCGTTATGCGAGCCTAGAAATGGATGCTTTTTTTCTCTCTCGCCACGACGGGGTGTTACTGACTGCCTCCGACCACGACCAGGGCCACGACCACGATTATGGCTATGAGGGCGCCGTGAGATAGCTGAAAAGCTCCGGGACTGTCACCGGCAGCGCCGGCGGCGTCGTCGACGCCGTTGCCCGCACCGTCACCACCCCCCGAATACGGGGCCGCTGTAGATAGAGGGAAGTTGGCGGTCTTCGTCGCCATGTCGTCGGGAGTTGCTTGTTACGAACCAGCGTAACGGTACTTATTATTCTTGGTTGTCTACACAGGGACGTGTGAAGGCAGACCGGAGATCTGGCAAGGGTCTAATAGGGAAGAGAGGGAGGAGAGAAAAAAAGGGTTCGGGAACTGGGGTGGCAGGACTGGGAATGATACGGGCGGTTGACAAGATGTATATCGCAACTTATCCTGCGAGTCTGCTAGCGGGGTAAAGAAGAGAATGAATGTATAGTTATTCTTTCAAGCGCTCAGACCTGCTGCTGCTGCGATTAGGGTGAAGAAAGTGTGATGAGATATGCATGGGTGTGAAAAGGGAGGTGAAGAGGAAGCTCCGAAGCGGCACACTTGATATTCGAAGTCGCATATGGGATGTCAAGTCTCAAGATATGGGGCCATATTTTTTTGGGCGATATCACTTGATATCTACCGGGGTCCATGTCCATCACCAAATCCCCAAAGTCACTTACTTTAGAAGGGAATCTTCAAGACCCCATTGGGTGTCATGCAGGTACCGTACCATTTTCTGTATCGAAGAGTCTCTGGATGTCATTGGTGGTGAGTTTAAGCGCCCTTGGATCTTGACGGCGTGCCTTGCATCTTGGTGTCCAATCGGAACGTGTGATGGGGGCTTGGCTTTCACATCTGCACATGCCGTGGGCACTGGTTTGGTCGAGACTCAAAGTTGGGAAAAGGTACCTAACTACCTAAGGTAGGTAAGGTTGTCTGTCAGTCACATCTGTGTGGTTTGCTGGGAGATTTTTTGGGTTTGACTTGAAGCATTAACCTTATGTATGTTAAGGTCCGTTACGATCAAAATTACACTTAAGTTAAGCTATGCTGTACATGCCTCTCTATCTGGGTCAAGAACAGGCCTGGCATAGTGTTTTCTGTCTTTTTTATTGCATGTAAAGATGGATGTGCTGTTTACTGTCCTTGCTATATTTATCAGCCCTTTACCCTGATACAAGTTGCCATGTTTGGTGGGAGGTCGAGGCCGTGGATGCTATTTATTGTCGTCGGAATTGGAGATTGCCGACCAATGGTCAAACTTGTCTCTGTCAGGAGTTCGGCGGCTGCTGATACTGGTACCTACCGCCCACTCTGACTGCTGCCAGACGTGACGTAGATGTTGTTAATCGTGCGTTTCAGCATGACAGATCAAGAAAACAACATGGGAGCGCAATAAAAGCGGTTTATTGTTGCAGGAGTGCATGATGGCGGTGCTGCCTGTGCGGACTTGTGCTTCTTTGCTGCATGACCTGGTAGAACCCTGAACTGGCAGGGACAAAGTGGAAGTCAGACAAACGAGCGCATTGCATGTTCGCAAAGCGTCACAGTCCATACTGCCAGCTTGCTGTAATATTCTTCAAAACACGAAATGATCTACACTCGACATCAAGCCTCTCTTCAGCCTGCAAATCTACCTCATTGAAACAAAGTGCTGCACTGAGAACTGCCCTTTTGACAATTGAGTCAGCGGACCCGATCCTCATCTAATACCCCGCTGGAGTCCTAGCATCTAGACGCTTGTTGCCGCACAACACCACAACAAGCAACGCATCCGGCTCGGTTAGCTCAGTTGGTTAGAGCGTCGTACTAATATTACTCTGGGTTCAGTCCTGGTCTAATATCGGTAATGCGAAGGTCATGAGTTCGACCCTCATACTGAGCATTGAATTGCTTCTTTTCTTTTTCATTTTTTGTTCTGCTTTTTGTTCTGCTTTTTGTTGTGATGAGGAGTGGGAGGGAAATGCTTTTTTGGTTGGGTGTGCTCACTTGTTGTCTTTTGGTCTTGACACTGTATGGCGAGCGGTACATACAGTACAGCTGTAAACCGTTCTCCTTCAAATCTTTTAAGGCATCTACGCCTGTAAGAATTGAAATGCAAAGAGGTTAGAATACATTAGGAGAGGACAACACAATTATTTAAGTATATCTCAGAACCGCAGAACTCAAGGCAATTAGATATCTTCTGAGTTCCAATGCTGATTGAAACTTCTAGCCAAGATCTTAGAGGGAGAATATAGCACACTTTATTTTAACCTAGAGTTTTAATATTAAGAGAAGCTTTGCAAAAATAGTACAGGTAAGTATGCAGACATGATATAGTATCTTTACACGCAGTTCTAATGCCTTTCTTTTCCTCTACGCCCGATGCTAAAATTTTAAACCTACACTGTCTCTTCCCAAAGGGTTAGAGGATGAAGCACAACGCCAGAACCTACTTGGGCGTCTTGCCCTATGGACAGTCATATTGAAACCATCAACATCCCCCAGCTCGGTTAGCTCAGTTGGTTAGAGCGTCGTACTAATATTATACAGCAATGTATAACATTGGTAATGCGAAGGTCATGAGTTCGACCCTCATACTGAGCATCTTCTGCTACAAGCTCAAGCTTTCTTTTTTTTTTTTTTTTTCACTTTTCTCTTCCATCATCTTGCGTGATGGATGGCGTGGCTCATGTTGCCGTCCGTTGGAAGAACCCTACTTGTGACAACTCCCGGTGCACTTTACACACTCAGTCCAAGATTAACCTTTTTTTGGGCGTCTTCTCGACTCTTCACAGTTTAAATCTCACAGTCTAGTAGGCACTTAGGAAGCATTAATGGAAAACGCTCAACAGTCCGTTCCTATGGGGGAAAGATGTGTACCTGGAGTTGGTGAACTTTCGATTATTGAGATTATTGACTTCAAGGGGTTCAACTTACCTGGTAGATAGGAAACGCCAACTCCTATTCGTGGTTTGGTAGGCAAGTACGCGACAGACCGTGCCTACTTCAAGCTGCAGTCGCACTTTCTGCGAGAACTGGGAGTCTGGGACAGTCACCGTCACACACACACAGAGAGAGAGAGAGAGACGTTACTAGTAGGCAGGCAGCCTTCTATTCCATTCTTTCGAAGTCGGCCACCCTCCTCTTCATCACTCTCTGTCTTTCATCAACGCGCGGGCATGCAGATCAATATGCCTTCCTAGTCGAGGTCGATACTCGGTAATTTGTTGACATACCACTTCCATTTATGGTCTCCTTCATTTTCCCTGCCCATAATCCAGATATCATGTTAATGCAGATACGTAGAACAATAAAGGATCAACCAAAGTCCATTTCTCAGCTCCTCTGAATGCTCACATCGACTATTACAAGACATGGCCTAGCCTCCTGATCGTTTCTACCCCTTCGGCCCCGAGGTCACGCATCTCCTACACTGGAAGATTCTTTAGGTCTGAACGAGATGGCGGCGGAAGGACCGGCTCCTGCTGGGCCGATTCCGTATTTTTTCAAGAAGATTAATTACCCTGCAGACCTGCCATGTCCAGACTCTCAGGAACCCAACTTCGTCTCGCCTCTTGAGGAGTCCCAAGAATCCCAAAACAGAGTATCTGCTTGGCAGAATCGTGGAAGCAGTATTGGTGGCGTGGGAGCTAACGGCGAGAGTCAGACCGGTGACGCCTTGGCTGTGCCCTCATTGCCGCCGTTCGCAACCCCTTTCCTCACACGTCCAAGGGCTGAATCACCGGATGATTTTTCCACATCATTCCAGTATGCGAAGCCGTCCGGTGCCCAAATTTCGTCTTTTCGCACGAAGGCCACAGCACCACCGATTGCAATAGATCACGAGTTGACCTCGAAGGACGAAACATCTATCCACGTCGATAACTCGCCCTGCGAACCCGATAGCTCGCTTTTTGTCAATTCTTCGAGTGGCCATGATAGCATAAGTGAGATAATAAAACCGAGCATTGAAGCAGACCCCTGCCCGCGAAGTGGAGAATGCGAACAAGTAGAAATCTCGAGTAGTTCTCCAGCTCCTTTGAAGAAAGAATCTCAGAATTCCGACAGAAGTCACAACAGTGGGCAAAGTGGCAATAGTGCTGAGCGTACCGTAGCATCGAATCCGCCTATACTTGTTAGTCCCCATTTCGTCTCTGCGACACCAATCAAACATACGCCTCAGCATCAAAACGATGGGCCAGGAAAGCCGAAGCTTTCCAAATCGTTCGTCGATATCCAGAGGAAAGCTCTTATCCAGTCCAGTCCCATGAAAAGCACCATCGTTCCAGCACACGCTTCGAGCTTCTCAAACGCTCAAGGGGCGTCCTCGAGCCAGCCCCATGGCGCACGGGGTAAAGGAAACGAAAAATACGGTAAAGCTCGCATGCAGACAGAGCGGCACGTAGGGCAACCGGCTCAAACCTCTACCGTCCGCCGGCCATTGCAGTCTGAGAAATCTTGTGCTCACGGCAAAAGCTCACACGGGCATCGTCACAATGCGGATATTGCTCGTCCTGTCACTCGAGACACGAACAAGTCTCACGAAATGCCTCTGCGTCCGTTCTCAGTTAGCTCGAATGTCTCGAGGCGCCGAGATCCCATACCAAGTCAGGGACTGGAGCCATGTCGTACACCAACGAGCCGGTGCTCCAGTCGAACTACGGGCATAAGCGACGCTGTCAAAGTCGACTTTGCTAAAGCTTATAACAAGATGATACTGTTCAATGAGCGAAAAAACAGTCATTGGAAGGCAAAGCAGGATGCTATGAAAAAGCAGATAGCCGAGCAGGATGCACGTATTAACCACTACCTTGGAGTAATCCAACAGCAAGAGGAAAGCATCAAAGATCTTGAATCTGCCAAGGAGCAACAGCAGAAAGCCATACACCAAGCACGAGACGCCACCCACACAGAGTCTGAAAAGGTTAAAGCGCTCAAGGACAAAATGAAGGAGTACCGATGTCGCCTCAACGCGGCTATCCATGAACAGCAGGAACTGTTCAAGCAAGTCAGGGCAAAGCATCACGAGGTGATCAGCCAGATAGCCGAGAAGGAACGCAGCTGTCAACAGTCGGTCGAAGAAGCCTTATCTGTCACTGAAAAGTCAAGAAATGATATGCGACAAAAGATTGACGAACTCAAGCTGGGGTTTCACAGCGAGGTTGAGAAGTGTAAGTGCACGAACCACATACTTAGTCATTCGAGTAGCTAATCCCGCAGCAGTGAAGATCGATATCGAGATTTCCAAGGCCCAGTTAGCGGATCGCGAAAATGATGTTGCACGCGGAAACGAACATGTCTCTGAACTTCGTCAGGAATTGGCGAAGTCTCAAGACCTCAACCGTGATGTCATGGAATCTCTCAGAGCGAGTAACAGTCAACTTATAGAGCAGGGTCGCCAAGCAGCAGCTCAGATGCAAAACATGGAGCGGTGTGTGAGCCAGCAAGATGAGAAGTGAGTGCGCACCACTCCGGAGGCCGTGGGAAGGATGCTAAACGAAACAGAATTCAGGCAATGCTCGACCTGTTGAAGGACAAGCAAGAAGCCTCCCTAACCATTCCGGAGATGATGGAGGCCCTGAAGTCGCACCAGAGCGAGACAATCAAATCGTAAGCATTTATAGCACCAACTAGTTTATGATCGATCTTACTGATGAGGGCAACCACAGAGCGCTTGCGGAACTTCGAGAAGACCACCTATCAGAACAGCAAGTGTCACTGAAGGCTGTCGAGGACTTGAGAAAAGACATGGCATCGATTCACGAGCTTTACAGCGGCCTCAGTCAGCAGTTACAGCTGCAAAGCAGCAGGATGGAGTCTGAGTGGCAGGGAAAACTCGACAGAGCTGAACATGAGCATGGTCTCCTGCTACAAGAAGCTGATCGCCTGAGAGAAGAGCTCAACGAAGCTCTGAAGGAATCAACGGTACAGGCTCAACAGCATGATGGTGTCCGCCAGCAACTTACTGCACTGCAAGCCGAGACAAAGGAACTGGGAAAGTTGAAAGGCCAGACCGAGACGTTGGAGAAAGAAAAGTATGAGCTCCACAGTGCTTTGCGCCAGAGGGAGGCCTCTATCCAAGCGTTGGAAAGAAAATTAGAAGAAGCCGGTCACTCTCTGCGGATCCAAAAGGATCACCTCGATCTTTATGAGAAGAAGCTTTCAACCGCCCGAGAACAACACGCAAAGGCGATTTCGATAAACCAAGAAGAGTGGGAGAAGGCGGTAAAACAAGCGACGACTGAAGCTTCCTCCAAGATCAGAGCTGATTACAAAGGCATCGAGAAGCGCTTGCAGGATGCCTTAGCAGAACGTGACCGGCTCCAGGAAGAGCTCAATCAGAAACAGCAAAATGCCGATGCGACTCTCCAAGAGAGCATCAACGCGAGCACGTGTGAACTGCGTGGAAAATTGGCTGAAATGGACAAGGTGGTAGATGAACTCTCAATGAATCTGCAAGCCGTGGAAGAATCGAGGAATCAGCTCCAGAGTGAGCTGGAGGCAAGTCGCAAAACCAACGAAGAGGCTTCGCTGCTCAAGTCGGCCCTCGAACAACTGTCAAGCGATGTGAGACGGACATGCGAGGGTGGCAGTCAACTGGAAAGATACTTCCATCATTGGGAGAGCCTCCAGAGAACATGCCAGTGGCATCAGTCTGAGAATCAGACGGTGTTGCTCGAGGTCATAGAAGCTAGCAGGAGCAACAGTGACCACGACAGGATGGATATCAAGGTGGAGCCGCATCTATGGCATGACGGCACTCGCCGTGTCGTTGTCCAGTCGCCGGTGTGCGTCGGTGGTGTAGGAGAAGCCATGGATACCGTGACGGTGTTGCAGGAACAGTTCAATAGGAGACGAGTTGTTACACCGAAAGGCATCCTGAAGGCTTTTTCAGCAGAAGACATACTGGTGGACCAACAGAAGCTGAATGAGATCGAAGTCGCTCCTTCGGAACCGGCGACCCCGTCTGAGCGACGTCGCGCGAACCGCCCCGCCAAGCTCGGGCCTGTGTCGCATAGCGCATACAACCGACCGGTTATAGGGAACCTGGCGGGAGATGAAAGTAAGAGCGAGTATGATCAGGTCCTCGACAGCCAAGAGATTGCGCCTGCGGCCATTCCGGCAGCTCCACTGAAGAGAAGAAGAAACGAGGGGGATGTCCCACGAGAACAGACTGCTTCGAGTAGCACAAACGCAGCCAGGGAGAGCAACACAAGTGGCAAGAGAATGAAGCTGGCCCCATCTTTGTCACCCTACTTCCACGGCGAGTCGAGCTTGTTGGGCCCTGAGATGGAGTCGGTGCAACGATCACAGCTTCAACTCAGGCCGACGAGAGGCGAGCCTTTGAAGCGGAAGACGCGTTCAGGTATTACCTACGGTGCAATCGAGACTCGTTCCCAGAAGTCCGTACCAGCCAACCCTCTCGAAGGTACAGACTCGGGCGGCTTACCCGAGAGAGGCTTGATACCGCTATCATCGCAATAAGTCGTTCCTGCTGCCAATGGAGTTGCATTTGGCATGTTTCTCTTTGCCCAAGGTTAGGGGGCGGCACCCATTGCGACGAGAGACTGCTAAACTTCCCCCAACCTGTTTGATGATTGCCC